AAAAAAAAGTGATATCTAAATTAGGCTATTATAGACAGTGGACTATACGCTACTACAGTTAGCCATCTCATTCCTCATCTTTTTGTGTTAAGTGAACAAATTATAACTCACACTCAATTTTTCATAACTCGCCTGTTTGTACTTAATAAACCAATAAAAACACAGCGTTTGGGTTCGCGCTCACAAGGTTTGCGAAATTTAACTTAACTTATTTTCCAAGAATAACTAATGGCCAAACCGTTGTGTTATGTTTTAATAATTAGCACCCTTAACACCTGTCTTTCTTTATTATGGTTAGCACTACCTCAACTAAAACAGCGTCTCTTCGGAGCTGTCATTTTCTTAAATGAGCCGTGGCAATGTTTCAAATGAGCTTCTAACCTAGACAAACGCCTTTATTTTCAAAGCGATCACCTTGTACCCAAACCATTTGAAACTAAGGAGCCATTTGTCCTACGATTACATACAACAAGCTCTTCAGCGCCGCGTTTGCGGGACTCATGTTTCGCGCTGTAGGGGATTTTAAAAAAGTGACGTGAGTGGCAGTGTGTGTGTGTGTGTGTGTGTGCTGGAGGCAGAGCGGCAGAGAGATGCGACAGAGTTGCGAAATTGCAGGCGCGGCTCGAAATGGCTGTTATTTAAAATAGCGTACCATATTTTAAACTAATCGGTTAACCGGTTTCAACCGGCTACTGAGGCTCGGTGGTCGGTCAAGAAATTTTTTAGTTTTCGCCATCCCTAGATGAAACACATCCTCTTCCCTTTAAAATTCTTTCCCAAAATCAGCACTTTATTTAACATGCTGACATATTTTTTATTACAGCTACAAAACTACTTTATACCACAAGCCAGCCACCAGGAAAAAAATTCAGGAAGTTAATAACAGAAAACATTTGAGACGCGACACTAACGTCGGTGATGAGCCCAAACCAGTGGGGAAAACAGAAGCTTCCCAGTTCCTCGAGACCATTTGCTAGGGACACCGAGCCGCTTCCTACAGGGAGCCACCAAAAAGGGGTCACACGTGGGACTCCTAAACGGGGGAAACACCTAGGCGACACTGTGAAGATGCAGAGAGAGCCAGGGCAGCGGAGAGGGCCAAGCAGGGTGCAGACGCCGGCCGCGAAACGCCCAATTCCCATTCGCCCCACGCTGATGGACAGACAGGTAAAGTGACATGCAAAATGAAAACAACAAAAATGGCTTTGGAAAGAGCAGTGGCAGCCGAGTGCCCCTCACCCTGTCCTTCATCCTCCAGCTCTGTGCCAGCGCTTTGGAGCCCTCGATCTTCTCCGAATGACGCTTCTTCATGAAAGCCAGCGGCAGGTTCCAGTCGCTCGTGTCAGCCTCCTCCTCTTCCGCCAGGCCCACCACAGGCGAGTGGAGCAGCTCCGCGTCCATTTTCATCAGGGCCCTGCTGGAGGTGAAGCCAACCCCAGTTAAGGAGGCCAAGGGTTTCTCTACATGACCTGGACCTTAAATACTCAAAAAAAAAAAATACAATAACGGCTAATTCCTTACTGCTGACAAATGAGCCACCATGAATGAAGCACCAAAAATACTTTGCATACTAAACCAATGCAGACAAAAGAAAGACAGCATTGACATACACAGGTAGAGAAAGCCAGAGGCATAGCCCAGAGCAAAATGCACCTCAGCTTCCTGATATAACGCAAAAGTGAAAGTTTGGAACTGCAGATTCTCAGAGACACAAACAGGTTGGATTGCAAGTCCGAGCAAAGCGCAGCAAAGAAATTATAAAAAGTTAATGCTCGGGAGGGAGGGGGTTTGGGTGCAACTGTGTGCATGATATTAGAATAGTCACACAAATGAATCATCCAGAATACACATCCATGCCGTAAATCAGTGTTTTCCAACCCACTCATTGGGGAACCCTTGACTGTCTGGCAGTGAGCTGGGAGGGAGCAAAAACGTGGACTGTCTGGGGTCCCTGAGGACCAGGTTGGAAAACATCTGTAAATTACAGTACTTTTTCTTACTGTGTTTTCAACAAAGCTGCACATATATTTTTTGCGTTATCCTTTACAAACATGGAAAACACCATGAAAATTCATCAAAATAAACAAAGCTAATGGGAATACTTCTAAAGGCATCAAATTACCTTCGTGCTTGCGTAATCCTGTTACTTTTGCCTTGACACTATACCACACTATATATCACTAAAAAGCAGTAATATGCAAATTTGACAAGTGCAAAAAAACAAGGATATAGCTGTTATAAATCAAGCTAACTGTAACCTGAGGGGTGAATTTCTCCAAATATTTTTACTCAGATAAAAATTCAAAAGAAGGCAAAGGAAGGACATAAATGCAGAAGGGAAATAAAACTTTCAATACAGAAATACAAATGGGAGATCAAACTACTTAACAGCAGCAGCCTATTGGTTTATCTGAGCCTGACATCATGCTTTTTACCAAGTCACACCCGCGATCGATGTCGTCAATGACCAGGAAAGTGACGCTCGTTAGTTATAGTGGATAAATCAGTACACTGGACACGCCTACGTGTCACACGGACAGACGCAGGTAACGGTGAAAATAAACACACGGACACTACATAACTGCACAGGTAATCATTTCATAAGTGTCACAAACTCACTACCCCAGATAACGCAGAGAAGCAAGAGTTAAGTTAGCCTGAAGGAAAAAGCGGCTAAACACCGCTGCCCGGGCAGCCGGTAAGGAAGACATGTCAAATAAAAGCTAGCTGGTTGGCTGGCTAACATGTTTAGCAACGAACAACTGCAGCTGGCTTGCAAGTATCTCAAAGGCATGTAATGTAACAGAGCCCGCAAGCCAAGCGGCGACATTCCCAATAAACCGTAACCGCAATGCAGTCTCGGTGTAACGGGTCAGTCAGTCCGTCCGCAGGGCATGCCAGTCGGATGAGTATAAATGGCGATTTCTCGCCCACCACTCACAGACCTTGGCACGGCCGAATCCTTCACGCCGGCTGGGTCACTCCCGCGTCTCCCTCCCTCCCTCCCTCTCTTTCTTCTCGAAAAGAGAGACGACCGCCGAAAGATCACTTGGAGATGAAAATGAATCCGGGGTTCAAGCCAAACGTCCAAATCCACCCTGTGCACGTTTGCAGGGATATGGGGGAACTACTGTACTTCTTTCCGCTAAGGGCTGCAAAGGAGGCCCATCTCTACACGGGACTCTCACGCCTAAGACACACCTGGATGCCCCGGGGGCTCCGTTAGCGGATTACTGATTCGGACTTCTCGTCGGCGCTTCCGTAGAAAGGCAGCCGACGGTCCCTTGCAGTGACAGCGGTTAAACGTAATGCGGATGGAGTCGGTTTTGCTCACGGAGACACGTTCTCAGCATTTGCACAAGGGCGCCGCCATGTTGAGACAGACCCAGAATGCACCGCGGGGCGGCTTGCGGGCTCTGCGCCGCGCATTGCGATTGCGAGTTAATTCAGCGTGATCCCATTTTTAACGCTTCATTCGGGTTTAGCCATAAGGACGAAGGCTTTGAAAAAATGCAATTGCATGTTAGTCGAAGCACCGCAGTCGGATTGTGGCGTTTTGAGTGAACATTCTTTTTGTCCATTATTTGTGCATATGACTGTGGAGTTGTTCAGGAATTGTGCTCAACTGTTTGAATTATGCTTAGATTGAAGCGATAAAATAAATCATAAATTGTAAAACAGAACTGCAACTAATATTCATTCATGAAAAATTGCGGTTCATTTTACTTGTACCAGCAAAATGGTTTATTGGTCCTGACAGTCTTATTGTTTGAACCCTGTTCAGTACAATCTGTCTGGTAAAGTTTTACTTACATTGAACAAATGAAGTTCCCCCTGGAATAAAAAACATGTTCCTTTTCAAAGCCATGTTACATTTTGTCTTTGTACTGAATTCTCAAACACCAGGAGTTTGGTGTTTAAAATCGGGGGAGGAAACTGCCAAAAAATATTCCCATCTGTCCCTGTGACTAAAAGAAACTGACTGTTGACTTCAACTCAAACTAGAGATCAACAGATGCTGTATCTTGGTTACAAAATGGTGCTGTTCAACTACAGCACGTTACTGTGTTTTCTGGAACCAAAGATCCCCATAATTCATCATCAAATGTCCATGACTTCCACACAAACACCTACACGCACTCCCACTCCTTGACTGACACAAGTTTGACTAATGCCGCTCACACACTTTTCAGCACTATGTGCCCGGGTGCGCACGTGCGTGCAAGCATGCATATGTGGATTACTGTTGTGAAGATGTCCACTGATCAACAAGTAATTTGTTGGAAAAAGAAGCCATTTTTGGCACAAGCACACATCAAACTACCGCATTCAGGTCCCATGCCCAACAGTAACTGTCCTTCACCATTTGTGCTCCCAGCAAATGAATGTGGGGTGATTCAGCTGCCATTTCAAAGGTCCCATCAGTATGTGATGGTGTCGGTTATATATGCAATGGCTACACTCGCCATCTGGGTCTGTGATGTGGTACAGGATGAACAATCATAGAGAGGATCAGAGAACAATAGCAGGGCAGCACAGGAAGCCACCGGTAGACAACAGTGCAGGGAAATATCAATAGAGAATGTTCTACAATGTAAAAATGAAAGAGAATTCAGAGGATGGCAGGACCCTGGACACCCAATTCAAAAGAGAGCAGGGAGGGAGACCAGGAGAGGAGATTAAGCGTTAAGGCAGGCCATGAGTCTCCTCTCTGTCTCACTCATTTCTCCGTTTAATCTGACAAAAAAGAACACCTCCCCTACAGAGGGAGAAAATACATAATGATTTGCAAAGTCCAGGCCTCACTGCGTGTGCTAGGATTTCAGCTCATCAGAAAACATGGAAATACCACAGGTGACTGACAGGGTGCAACTTATTCCGTGGCCATTTCTCACTCTGTAGTCCTGCGGTTCCCCTGGCAAACAACACTGAAACAAAGAAGCTCGGAATTCTGGGGGAAAAGCCTTGCTTTAAAGAAAGGGTACGTTGCTTTAGTTCCTTTGTGTGCTGCACTGGGGAACAATGTCTGTTTCTACTAAATGTGCAGTTTGTGAGTAACAGGGCTCAGAAACCGCAGGACCGAATGAGAAAGGGGGTGAAAGATTTCTGCTCTGACTTTAACGGGACCTTCGAGAAGAGAGTCCATCTGGGAATGATTCCTTATGAGGGAAATAGAGCAATACAATCCATCAATAAGAATGCACTCAATGGACCTTTAACTAAAGGTAATGTTACTCTTTTATAATGTCTAAAAATCAGTGGAAGAACATTTTTAAGTAGAATGATTCATCGGGTTTTCCTGCCCCTTCCCACTGCCTACAAATCAACATTTTTATATTAAATCCAAACCAACATCGAAGCACAAATCTTGCTGACCCAACCAGAAAAGTAATTGATTTTCTATTTATTTGTACTACATATGGAACAAGAATGCAAGTATGTAGTGTATTTTATATTTTTGTGTTTTATTCTTTTAAGGCATCTTTGTTTCCCCATTTTTATTGTGTACATTTTTCTGCCATATTCTGCAGAAAAAAACAAATCCCAAAGATTAATATTTGTAGCGTTTTATTTTGTTACTTTTATTTTGAAAGTATATCAGTCATATGTCATTTGATGACACTATGGCAATACATGGATGATAAGGTAATAAATTCCTAAAAGAAATATCACACATTCTTTGAAATCTCTACCAGCAATTTATTACATTCTCTATTGATTTTTTTTGCTTTAAAATTATAAAATAAATTTAAAAAAAACTCTCACCTGAAGAGGTAACAGTATAAAATCAATTGGCAGCAGATGGGCGGACCATTGAAAAAGTACAATTCCTAAATTATCTTTGTACACCCCCATTTGTACATTCACACCCACACAGACATGTCTTATGTTGTATCCTATAAATATTGAGAGTAAGAGACAGTAAAATGAAATAATATGGTTAGCACTGCTGCCTCACAGCAAGTAGGTCCTGGGTTCGGTCCTGGGTCCTTTCTGTGTGGAGTTCGCACGCCCTCCCCGTGCTCACGTGAGTTTTCAGCGGGGGCTCCGGTTTCCTCCCACGGTCCAAAAGCGTGCAGGATAGGTTGATTGGTGAGTCTAAATTGGCCCTGTAGTTGTGTGCGTGTGCGTGTGCGGGTTGGTTCCCGCCTGCGCCCATTGTTGCCAGGATAGGCTCCAGTCCCCCCCCACGACCCCAGTTGGGATTAAACAATTTCAGAAAATGGATGGATGGATGGATGGATGGATATATATACAGTATATATATATATATTACGAGTATATATTCATAGAGTGGGTAAGAACTTCAGTTGTGCTATTTATGAAAATATGGATGAAGGTTTGTTGCAAGCATAGCTGTCAGTTGGCGAAGGTGGTGGTGCATGATCTGCTGGGTACGAAAAGAGAAGGATATATGGGTAGAGCTAGGCAACTGCTAGGCTGGACCAGCAAGGCCAGTCACACTGGTGGCAGAACTCATGTCAATCAGTAGAATGTAAAATGTCTGTGATTAAGTCCCAGAGTACCACCCCTTCTGCTCACACCAAGGATACGGTTATTGAACCAAACGGAGCATTGGAATTAGATTAACAACAGCCAGCTGCTGCCACGGCCCAGCTTAGTACACGCATTGCACAGGAAATCAAACAATTATTTGCGGTGAGCTGCTAGGACAGAACAAATATGCTGGTACACCGAATGGCACCTTTTAATCTTTATTTTCCCAAAAGGAAGAAGAAGTAAATCAAGAAAACTTAGGCGTCTGTCATATGTCCGACACACTCCCATTGACATGTTATTAGTGTAAGATGCTCTTCAGTCATATCTGCCCTCTTCTCATAAATAAATAACCATGCATGCAGTTCTGCTATTGGGCGTGTTTCCAAAATGCAATCTGGCTGACAAGGAAAAGGCAAAGAGGAGAAAGATGCTTGTATAACACAAATTGCTGTTGGCTTATACACAATTTCACCCCCCCCCCAACTCAACTTGTTTACATTTCGCATAGCAGAATAACACGGCTGAATGCGCCAGTCCACAAATACACTTGATATCCAGTTACCCCAGTAAGCCACATGCTTTGGTTTGGAAGTGCTAATTTTGAGGAGTGTAACACAAACCATTTTGAAAGGGGAATGCGGTCCGACTTCTACGGTTGCGATTCACCAAATCGGGCTCAAATTTCGATGGAAATTGTCCAGAAACCTAAAAAGCCGTCACAAATCAATACTCCATCATGCCATGCAGTATTAGATATTACTGTAAAATCTTTTATGTTAAGATTTTGTGATCAGTTTTAGTTTCCTGAACTCTCAATTTTTTTTGGAACAAAATATATATATTATCCAAGAATAGGAGGGTTGCTCTGGCCCCAGCGGTTATGAAAACCTTTAAACAGCTAATGCTAGCCTATAGCTAGTCCATCATGGACCCCCTCCTGCAGTTCGCGTAAGGGGCTTTCACACCATCAGAACATTTTTATGTATCCAGAACCTTCTTCTAGAACCAGGGACTTTTTAGTGCCCACTATAAACTAGGTACTTTTCATTCAAACACGACCTACTGGAGAGGCACGTACAGCAATAGCTTGCTGATTGGTTGACCACAAGCACCAACACTAACATGGAAGTGTTCTTCCTACACTACCTCAAGATGCTCAAAATCTCCCAAGGCATCTTATCGAACTTCGACTCTGCCATCACTGGCAATGCTATGACATCCTTCATCACCATCCGGTTTCCTTACCTAAAAGACCAGGCTTGCCAACACTAAAAGACCTGGTCACCGCCAGGGCAAAGAGGAGAGCTGGGAAGACTTCTGCTGATCCCACCCACTCTGGCAGTCACCTCTTCACCAAACATCCATCACAGAGAAGGTTCAAGTGTACCATGACCCAGACCCCGCACCATCTCTACAGCTTCATCCCCACCGCCACCCAGCTCCTAAATAAACTCACCTAGTATCTCAGTAATCCGTCACCCAGGTGCCATCCACTTACCCAGAGGCAATTCC